GACAGACTTAAAGAAGTTCCAGATCTATACTTGTGCTCTTATTATTTCAGTTATTTTGCCTTTAATGTAAATAAACATGTGCAAACAATATACTTGCTCTTGTGAATTTATTTGGATATTAATTACATTGTGCGAGCTGTCTCTTTAATACCGCGTGGTTTATATACATGCTGCTGCTCATTGGGCTGACATGCTCGACACACCCACCAAACAAGAGAAAACGCAGAAAACGCATTGTTGCACACCGTTTCCAGGAAACATGTTGTTCAAACCGGAAACCGTAGCAAAGCGGTGCAAGCGGTGCAGAGCTTGAACTTGCCCCAGGTGTCGGGCCGAGCGCTGGTTCCGGGTGTCAGAGCTCAGGACTGGATCTCATCTGCGCAGGTTCTGCTGGATGGAGACAAACACGTGGGGTTCATCAGGTGCACACGTGAGCGAGCGCAGATTACGATGCAGTGCGTGCATGCAAATGCAGGGAATATGGTAATGATTCCCAGCGAACGTTCCTGGATCCCAAATCAGACGTTCTAACGTTCTGTCGGTTAGACAGGATAGTTTAAGAAAATAAAACGTTCCCCTAACATTCCGAAGATGTTCCCAGGCCAGAATGTTCATTTTGGTTGCCCAAAAAATGTAGTAATCGTTTTCAGTATGTTAAAAGAATGTTCTTAATTGGTTGTCAAAGAAATTAGAAATCGTTCTCAGTACATTCAAAGAACATTATTATTTGGTCCCAAAAAATATCCAAACGTTCTCAGTACGTTCCCAGAACGTTCTAATTTTGTTCCCCAAAAATAAACAAGTATTCTCAGCACGTTCCTAGAACTTTCTAATTTTGTTATTTAAAAAAATAACCAAACGTATTCTCAGTATGTTCCCAGAACATTGTAATTTTGTTCCCCAAAAATAAACAAACGTTCTCAGTACGTTCCTAGAACTTTCTAATTTTGTTCCCCAAAAAATAACCAAACGTTCTCAGTACATTCCCAGAACGTTCTAATTTTGATCCCAAAAAAATATCCACACGTTCTCAGTACATTCCCAGAAAGTTCTAATTTTGATCCCCAAAAAATAACCAAGCGTTCTCAGCACGTTCCTAGAACTTTCTAATTTTGTTCCCCAAAAAATAACCAAACGTTCTCAGTACATTCTCAGAAAGTTCTAATTTTGTTCCCCAAAAATAAACAAGCATTCTCAGCACGTTCCTAGAGCTTTCTAATTTTGTTCCCCAAAAAATAACCAAACGTTCTCATCAGTACATTCCCAGAACACTGTAATTTTGATCCCCAAAAAATAACCAAGCGTTCTCAGCACGTTCCTAGAACTTTCTAATTTTGTTCCCCAAAAAATAACCAAACATTCTCAGTACATTCCCAGAAAGTTCTAATTTTGATCCCCAAAAAATAACCAAGCGTTCTCAGCACGTTCCTAGAACTTTCTAATTTTGTTCCCCAAAAAATAACCAAACATTCTCAGTACATTCCCAGAAAGTTCTAATTTTGATCCCCAAAAAATAACCAAGCGTTCTCAGCACGTTCCTAGAACTTTCTAATTTTGTTCCCCAAAAAATAACCAAACATTCTCAGTACATTCCCAGAAAGTTCTAATTTTGATCCCCAAAAAATAACCAAGCGTTCTCAGCACGTTCCTAGAACTTTCTAATTTTGTTCCCCAAAAAATAACCAAACGTTCTCAGTACATTCCTAGAACATTGTAATTTTGTTCCCCAAAAATAAACAAACGTTCTCAGTACGTTCCTAGAACTTTCTAATTTTGTTCCCCAAAAAATAACCAAACGTTCTCAGTACATTCCCAGAACGTTCTAATTTTGATCCCAAAAAAATATCCACACGTTCTCAGTACATTCCCAGAAAGTTCTAATTTTGTTCCCCAAAAATAACCAAACTTTCTCAATACATTCTCAGAAAGTTCTAATTTTGCTCCCTAAAAATAACCAAATGTTCTCAGTACATTCCTAGAACGTTCTAATTTTGTTCCCCAAAAAATTATCCGAATGTTCTCAGTATGTTCCCAGAACATTCTAATTTTGACAGACTTAAAGAAGTTCCAGATCTATACTTGTGCTCTTATTATTTCAGTTATTTTGCCTTTAATGTAAATAAACATGTGCAAACAATATACTTGCTCTTGTGAATTTATTTGGATATTAATTACATTGTGCGAGCTGTCTCTTTAATACCGCGTGGTTTATATACATGCTGCTGCTCATTGGGCTGACATGCTCGACACACCCACCAAACAAGAGAAAACGCATCTCAAACCCTGTTGCACACCGTTTCCAGGAAACATGTTGTTCAAACCGGAAACCGTAGCAAAGCGGTGCACACCGGTTTGAGCTTGAACTTGCCCCAGGTGTCGGGCCGAGCGCTGGTTCCGGGTGTCAGAGCTCAGGACTGGATCTCATCTGCGCAGGTTCTGCTGGATGGAGACAAACACGTGGGGTTCATCAGGTGCACACGTGAGCGAGCGCAGATTACGATGCAGTGCGTGCATGCAAATGCAGGGAATATGGTAATGATTCCCAGCGAACGTTCCTGGATCCCAAATCAGACGTTCTAACGTTCTGTCGGTTAGACAGGATAGTTTAAGAAAATAAAACGTTCCCCTAACATTCCGAAGATGTTCCCAGGCCAGAATGTTCATTTTGGTTGCCCAAAAAATGTAGTAATCGTTTTCAGTATGTTAAAAGAATGTTCTTAATTGGTTGTCAAAGAAATTAGAAATCGTTCTCAGTACATTCAAAGAACATTATTATTTGGTCCCAAAAAATATCCAAACGTTCTCAGTACGTTCCCAGAACGTTCTAATTTTGTTCCCCAAAAATAAACAAGCATTCTCAGCACGTTCCTAGAACTTTCTAATTTTGTTATTTAAAAAAATAACCAAACGTATTCTCAGTATGTTCCCAGAACATTGTAATTTTGTTCCCCAAAAATAAACAAACGTTCTCAGTACGTTCCTAGAACTTTCTAATTTTGTTCCCCAAAAAATAACCAAACATTCTCAGTACATTCCAAGAACGTTCTAATTTTGATCCCAAAAAAATATCCACACGTTCTCAATACATTCCCAGAAAGTTCTAATTTTGTTCCCCAAAAATAAACAAGCATTCTCAGCACGTTCCTAGAGCTTT